GAGTATCTAATCACATATACAGGCCAAACTGAAGTTGCCTATTACCACTTAATAATACTGCTTAACTTTGCCCCTACTCAGGTCATCTACAGCTAAAACTCTCAATAATTTGTTACCTTTAGACTTAACTATTCCAATGCATCCCTGAGTCTCCTACTCAACCCTCTGTAAACAACCTGTGGCTAATGGGGCTCCACAGGGATCAGTGCTGGGACCGCAGCTGTTTACAATATCTATTAATAATTTAGAGGAAGGAAAGAAATGAACTGTAGCTAAAGCTACAGACGAAACAAAAATAGGTAGAAAGCCAGGCTGAGAAGGATTCAAACAGCTTACAGAGAAATATCGATAGGTTCAGTAAGTGGGCAAAAACTTGGCAAATGGAGTATAAAAGTAGGAAACTGTGATGTTCATTTTGAAAGGGAGAACAAAAGAACAAGAGTATTATTTAAATGGAGAAAAACTCCAAGCTGCAACACAAGGACTCAGGGATATTTGTGCACAAGACACAAAGCTAGCACACACGTGCAGCAGGTACTCAGGAAGGTTAATGGAATGGTGGCTCCTATTTCAAGGGGATTCAAGTATTAAAGTAGGGAAGTCATGCTACAGCTGTACAAGGTGCTGGTGAGACCACATCTGGAGAGCAGTTCTGCCCCCGCTTATGTAAGGAAAGATATAACTTCATTGGCAGGAGTTCAGAGAAGATTCACTAGGATGATCCCTGGTGTGGAGGGATTATCTTATAAGCAAAGGCTAAGCAGGCTGGGACTCACTGGTTTTAAGAATGAAAGGTGATCTCATTGAAACACAGAATTTTTTTTTAAGGGGCTTGATAAGGTAAATACTAAGAGGAGGTTCCCCCTCACAGGCAAGTCTAGGACCAGAAACATAGTTTCAGATTATTTAGGTGCCAATTTAAGACTGAGAGTGAGGAGGAATTTCTTCTCTCAAAGGGCTAAGAGGCTTTGGAACTCCTTGCTGCAGACAGATGTGGGGAAGCGTCCTTGTGTATACTTAAGACTGAGATAAATCAGTAAGAGAATCAAGGGTTATGGGGAAAGGGCAGGAAAGTAGACCTGAAGAGTGTTGAATTAGCCATGATCTACTGAATGGCGGAGCAAGCTCGAGGGGCTGAACAGTCTACTCCTGTTCCTATTTCTTATGGTCTAAACTTCAGATCTTTCAAGAATCAGGATCCAATGCAAAAAAGGTAAGCAAGCTGTTGGGAGGATACAAAGGTTCTGCAAAACAATATCTTTAGGTTAAGAGAATGGGCTTTTTTTTTTATTATTTGTTCATCAGATATGAACACACTGGCTAGGCCAGCATTTATTGCCATCTCTAACCCAGAGAGAAGTTAAAAGTCAACCACTGAGGGCTTGGAAACAGAATTAGGTCAGACAAGATAATATGGCATGTTTCCTTCTCTAAAGAACATTATTGAACCAGATGGGTTTTTATAATAATCGGTGGTTACATTATCGCCTTTAGGCGAGCTTTTGATTCCAGATTTCACTTGAGTTCAAATTTCACCATCTGCAGATGCAATATATAGCAGAAATGTGCGAAGTTATCTACGTTGGTTGGAGAGACAGAAAGCAAAAGACTATTTATGTTTAGAGAGAGTAAAAAAACGCTGTGATACAGAGGGTACATAGTGTCCTTGTACATGAATCATGGAAGGTTACCATGCAGGTACCACAATTCATTTGAAAGGCAAATGGATTGCTGGCCTTTTTTTTAAACAAAGGGGATAATGTATGTAAATAGGAAAGTCTTGCTATAATTGAAATGTATATTAGTGAGACCATACTTCAAATACTGCGTGGTTTTACAAAGAAACTAGAAAATAGCAGCAGGAGAACATACAACACAGAACACAGAACACGAGAGCACAGTACAGGCCCTTTGGCCCACAATGTTGTGCCGAACTTTTACCCTAATCCTAAGGTCTATCTAACGTCCAACCCTACCTTATACTATCATCCATATGCCTATCTAATAGCCGCTTAAATGCTCCTACTGAGGCCGACTCCACTACCCTCTCCAGCAGTGCATTCTACGCCCTGACCACTCTGAGTAAAGAACCTACCTCTGACGTGTCCCCTATATCTACCTCCACTCACTTTAAAACTATGCCCCCTCGTAATAACTACCTCCACCCTAGGAAAAACTCTCTGGCTGTCCACTCTATCTATACCTTTGATCATTTTGTACACCTCTATCAAGTCACCTCTCATCCTTTGTCGTTCTAAAGAGAAAAGCCCTAGCTCTTATGACCTTCCCTCCATTCCAGGCAACATCCTGGTAAATCTCTTCTGCACCTTTTCCAACGCTTCCACATCTTTCCTGTAATGAGGTGACCAGAACTGGACACAATACTCCAGATGTGGCCGAACCAGGCTTTTGTATAGCTGTGGCCCCTCAACCTTGCACCACCAGTTAACTAGACCATGGCTGATCTTTTATCATAACATTAATTTTCCACACTAATCCCTTAGTCCGTAATGTCTTTAATAGCTAGAAATCTATCGCTCTGCATCTTGAACATTCTCAATGACTTAGCTTCCATAGACATCAGGGGTAGAGAATTACAAAGATTCACCATTCTGAGTAAAGAAATTCCTTTCATTTCAGTCCTAAATGGCCTCCCTCATATTAGATTTTGTCTCCTGGTTCTATACCCTTAACATCCTTCTTGCATCTATCCTGTCAAACTCTATAAGAAATTTGCATGTTGACATGACAAGTACGTTTGCACCGGAGGCAGCTGAAAGTAGGGTTTGTAGGCTGACGCTCGGAGTGACGGGATGATGTCTTATGAGGAAGGGCAGTTCATTGGACCATATACAGGTGATCTCATTGAAGCATAATATTATGACGCTTGATAGATTAGATCCTGAAAAATGTATTATCTGGTAGGTGAATCTAGAATGGAAGGCACAATAAGAGGTCTCCCATTTAAGACAGAGATGAAGAGGATTTCTTCTCTCATTGGTTCTGTTAATCTTTAAAATTCTCTTCCATAAAGGACAGTAAAGGTTGGAACTTTGAATATATTCAAGTCAATGACAGGTTTTTGATCTGGAAGGAATCAAGAGAATTGAGGAGGTGTTGGGACAGGGTGCATTTGGCAGGAGATTGAGTTTAGGGTCTCTAGAAGATCTATATGATCTTATTGAATGGTGCAATAGACTCACTACGGAGGATGGCCTACTCCTGCTCTTATGTCATAACTATTCACCTATGAGTCACGTAGTCACTGATCAACACCGACTTCCAGTTAAGCATCAACTTGAATTTAAAATTCTCATTTGGTATTCAAATCCTTCCAAGGCGTCATCCATTCCTTTCTCCATAATTTCCACCAACCCTACAATCCAAGATACCTGCGTTCATCCAATTCTGGCCTCTTAAACATCTCCAATTTTAATTCCACACTATTGGTGGCCATGCATTCAATTTGACCAAGGGAATTTTGGGTCAGCTTTGCCGCAGAATCATAGCACAACATAATTTCAATGTTTTCCGGAGAGAAGAAAATATTTTTGAAAAGTATATCTCCACGATACTGCACTGATACGTGTTCTAGAAACATATAAATCATTGCTCAGTACTCTCCCAAACTTTACTTTTAAAAGCAAAACCAGTAATGGAGATAAGGCGTCCATGTATGCTTAAACTTTGTATAAGTCGGTCACAAAAAAACTTGTGAAAGTTACATTGTTTAAATACAAAGAAGTACAACTTAACAGACAAGGAACTTGAGGAAAATACAAGTAGCATCTTTTAAAAAGAGACCTATTAAAAAAAGGATCATTTCATGCTACAGGGTGCAACAGTCCCTTCTTTATAATGAAACATTCTCCAAATAATTTTTACATTTTATAATTTGAACAAAATTTGCTTAGAAATGAACGCTTTCGTTAGCGATTCATTAATTATAATATATTAAGTTTAGCATAGATAAATTGACAATATTTGTGTGGCAGCTGTTTTGCACAAGGTTATTCCATAACTGAAACAACTTCCTTTTCTCAATTCAAATGCCTCATTTTTAAATTGCAGAATGCAAATTTCAAAGACTACGTAAAGACTACTGTCTCACCAACAAACTACGAAGCAGTATCAATGGAAAATTAGAACAGATAGCAATTTTTACTTTTGTATTAGATCTGCTGTAAGCTTTAAAGTTTATAATCTATGTGCAGGAACAGGGGATCATTGATTTAGCAATTAAATACAAGTTTCCTTTAAAAAAAATTAAGGAAATCCCAACAGAGGAATCTCACATTCTCACAAAACATTTTAGGTGCATGACACAATTGAGAATCTGTAATTCTTGATTCGTCAGCTTTTAAATTGGTTTGTTTTACTGAACTAAATACACTAAATGGCCCAGCTTCTGAAAGAACAATCAATTTGAATCCTTGGCTCCCACACATTTTTATAAAACTCAAAAAGTAAAAACATATCAACAAATAATTTTGATTATTAAATTTACGCATTTTTAACTTAAAAATGGAATTTATAGTTTCACCAGTAGGCATTAGAGCTTTGTCTTTAACAAAAAATGCTAATAATTCATAATCAGAAACATCCGTTGAATTTTGCCAAACGATCTGTAATGTAGTATTCTGTCTGGATGCCTTAAAATATAAACTGCCTTCCTAACCCAACAGAAATATGCTTTCACAACTCAAAAGAGGCTCACTGCATAGTTTTGTACTGTGGTATTGTCTTCCTGTGATCACATTACGGTAGCTCAAACCACCAAGTAGCAGAATCCTGTACAACTGATCAATTACAGCTGTTGATTCAGTGATTGGAACGCCTCCACATCTGCTTCTTGCTTAGTTAGTTAATGGTTCACTTCCAGGTCCTAAAAGAACTTCAGTATTTTTCGAACAGTGTCTAACCCTATGTACGCTGCCCTTACACTGCCTGTCTTGTTCAGTTTTGTCACTCAATACACAATGCAAATCCAAGTGACTCACATCTGCCACTGATCGACCCAATTCGTGAGCAATCTTTTCCCATCGACCTGGAGTGCCCCCTGGGAACTTAACCATACTTCTTGTCAGCTGGCGGAGGTCCTCTTCTGTCCACTCAGGTGCCTGTTACAATGCACAAAAAAGCAGGAGGAATGTGTCATATAAAATGAATGAAACAGAGTTTGACAAAAAAAGGGATATAGAATCTCTCTCTAAATAATACTTAATTTACAAAAAAGCCCATGAAATCAATATTATACAAAAATACTTAAGCTTGGTAATTCATGTGCAGGTTGAGGCTTTTTGTTTTAAAAAGAACACATCATGAAACATCATAGAATGTTTAAAAAAAAAACCCTGAAGATATAAATACTTTATATAAAGTAATCTCTGACCCTAGTAATGAACAATCATGCATCATGGGGTTTGGATTACTAAGCCGTCGGTGCAGAGTGCAGTCACAGAGGTGAGTGACCCTAGGGACCATCTCCACAGCTACCGCAAAGCCTCTTGCTGACACTAATCCTCCTTGTCATTCTCCCACTGTGTTCAAACCACATTGACATCCGCCTGCTGCACTGCAAGCTTAACGGGGCCTTCCTGACTTTTTCACTGCTGCCCCTAATCAATGGTTCAAACATGCTCCTTTCACCATGTCCAAATGGCAACTTCAGTCATAATCAAAGCACACTGCCCTGTAAAGGGCTTCTCGACAGGTCTAGCTATTTGCATTAATTTGCAAAGCAAACTGTTATTTAGTGGTTTCTGTACTGTGGCTATGAAGAATGTTCCTTGAAACAGATAAGTGAGCATAAATATGACCTGCCACTTAAATCCAGTGAACAATTGCTAAAATGTGCTCAATATTTTTGCTCTTTCACTTTTTGCTCCATATTAAAAGCTTTTTCCCCTCAAAGTAAGTTCTCATTTAGTATTTTCAGAATGTTGAACTTTGCATTCTAAATTACACAAAAAATTAATGCATTTTTAAAAATAAAACAGAATTCAATAACTTTCCAGGTTGACAGCATGAAACATGGACAAAGATTTTTGTATCAATATAACTGAAGAGCAATTCTTAACCACTTACAAAATATTATTTCAAAATTTGTAAATGAAAAATGGAGACAAGATTCTGAAAAGCCCTCCTGGATACAATAATTATAACAGTGTACAGATAGAATCATGAATGCCTCAGTATAAAACTGCCTACATTACATTTATTTAAATTGAGGAGATGAACAGACAAGAGATCATAACAGAAGCAAAAAGATGAACCATGATTTTTTTTTAAAACAGTAGAAGTACAATAATAGTTTTCAACAGTTTACAAATGAGCCCAAAAATGAACTGTAAATGCATTACCAAAATATTCAAATTTGAGAAAAAATATTAAGAACTGAAGTATTGGTGTGCAAATTATGCAGCTCTCAAAGCCATTAGAAGACTGCGACAATCAGATTTAAACAAAATTTTGACTTTTCCTCCAGGGTTCAAATCATTCTACAGCAATGCATTGATATTTTAAAAACAGCTACAATTCTTTAATTAAAAAAACTCTTGCACTAATTCCATTTAATTAAATGGCATTATCAGGTTAGCCCCTGCCACTCCCATCTTACTTGGATTGTATTGATATGAACTGGATTCTCTCTGTAACATTTGCAATGCACCTTCCCAAACTCAGGTCATATCACACAGTATCAAATTACACTCCAGCATGTGCTCAATGCAAAATGGGACCATAGTGGAGCCGGATTTCAGACATGTTTATAACAGCTAAATTTTAAGTTAGTTATTAACAGCAGGTTTAAACAACCACCAAGTTTAATAAGAGTTTCTGCTGTAATCAAAGGTCTCAGTACATCAATTCTTAGTTGAAAAACAGTCAAAAGTATTTTAATTAAAATCTGATATAAATTGATCAGTCAGTTTCTTTTCAGGCGGTTGCAGCAATGTAACAATTGAAATGATTCTCAGACCATGGATCTTTATCTACTGAAATACAAATATGTTTTGCAATCTTCAATTATAAATTAGTAGCTATTACCACACCTAAAAGTCAATACTAGGTGTTTTAAATGGATGTTCTACTACATTATTTCTACCAAAATAAAGCATGCTTCATGATCACCTATATCCAAACCAATGTACACTACCACAAATGCCACATTGGTATTTTTTAAAATTCTAATTATAACAAATTTAAAACATTTCAGTAAATATTACCGTTACCATAGTGTCAACAACATCAATCAATGGGAAATAAGTTCCAAATACCAAGCAGGGCATTAGTTTTATAATATTAAATCTAATTAAAAGATTCCAATTCGAGTGCCATTTCAGAATTACTAATTAATATGTCAAACAGAACCAGAACAATAGTGTCAAACTGCACAGGCCTTCCACCAGAACAAGTTATATTTGCACTACATCAAGATAGATCTTGAATGCTTTAAATTAAATTAAAACAAATTAGTGCTAACACCACTATTTAAATAGATTTGTTAAAGCAACAGTCCATGCTTTCATTACATTCTCGGAATGGATCACAACAAACAGTGCAATTTAACTCGGATTTTGGAATGATTTTCCATAAAAGAAACTCCAAACACTTTCTCTTTTAATTTATTCCTTAAGTGATTCACCATCCATTTCCCTTACATTCCAAAAAATGCTAGCAAAAATAGATCCAGATTGTTGTGACATACTGAGAGATTCTTTAAAATCACAACTACCAAGTAACAAGTTAACCAAGGACAGACACAATGTGCTGCTGAGCCATTATGGCTGCAATCCATCCGAAGTGATTAATTAAAAATTCCACAAAAACAGCCAACTGTGTCTCCAGACAGAATGAATGAATACTACAGCACAAATTCCTTAAAATCAGGAGTTAAATAAGTTTTCAAGGTGTTAATTGCATGAGCAAATTCGCCCTGGTTTAACACTGAATCAAGCTTAGCTAATACAGTTAAATGGATGCATAAGCATGCTGTTTTGTTGTTGAAAACTATGCAATTCCCAATTTCTTTTGGAACCAAGACCCAAAAAAATCCATCTCTGCAGTACATCAAAGTAATGGCAGATACCACATGGCGAGGAGACAGCTGTCATTACTGTACAATGTCTGCATTCTAATACGACAGTAGCCTGCTCAGATATGTGACCTAAACCCAATTAAATGTTTCCAGAATGCAATCTCTGCACTGATGGAGGCTAGATTTACATTCACTACAAATGCTTCACCATATTAAAAGGCATTACTTATTGCATTTAGGCAATTAAAATAAAACACCAATTAATAAAAGCAGCATGGTTTTGCTTTACGTACTGCAAAGGTCTGGTAAACCACTTCTATTGAAAATATTTTGTAGGAGATATATAGAAGCTACTGTTTACTCCAGTTGAAAAAAACTTTCCTATTTTAAACTATTTTAATAAACTGTGCATACCGTTAATTATTTAGTTTTATGGAATGATACATAAAGGAAGAACTATTAAACTTGATTTAAATAAAGCATACTAGTTTCTCAGACAACACAATTTGTGTCTCTTTTTTGAAAACCTTACTGAAGTATTTGGCTTTTAAACCTGTAAGGCAGGTAGAAGCTTATGTACTGCAAGTTTTGAATTAAATTTGGCACTCAAAGGATTAATTTTACTTAACAAAATCGAGATCTCACTCCATGAAGCCTACAGTTTCAGGGAATCCCAATGAGCCTTAGAAATTGATTTGAAGCAAAATTTTGGAATATTAAAGGATAAAAGTAAAACTGATCATAACATTATCTGCAGCAGCCACAAAGCTAATAGTTACTGTACATTTTCAACTAGATAAGCAGAAATTCATTAAGACTCAGAATATACAGCACGCCCACTGTACCTTTTGCGGGAGACTGCTAGTAATTTCAACAATCTGGTTATTTGAAAAAGTATGTCATATTGCAGGATAATCACTAACACCAATTTCCTCTATGCAAAACAGAACCATGCTGTTTTCCATATCTAAACTGAATTGAATATACTGGTTTTAAAAATAATTGTCACTCCTGGATTCTAAAAGTTAAATGAAAAATTAGATTTTCTTTCTACTCCTGATTACAAGCCAGCAATCTCTACTGTACACATTGTCAAACAGCATGGTAACAGACCCTTCAGTCCAACTTGTCCATGCAATTGGGTATCCCAAACATAACTAGTGCAATTTTCCTGTATTTTGTCCATATCCCGCGAAACGCTTCCAATTCATGTACCTATCTAAGTGTTTTAAATACTGTAGCTGTACTATCCTCTACCACTTCCTCTGGCAGCTCATTCCATAAACGTACCACATTCTGCGTGAAAAAGTTGCCCCTCAAGTCCCTTTCAAATCTTAAATTTAACAAATGAAAGAACCGCAGAGGCTGGAAATCAGAAACAAAAACAGAAATTGCTGGAAAAGCTCAGCAGATCTGGCAGCATCTGTGGAGAGAAATCAGAGTTAACGTTTCGTGTCCAGTGTCACTTCCTCAGAACAGTTAAACTTTTTTAAATCTTTCCTCTCTCACCTTAAACCTATTCCTCTAATTTTGGACTCTTCTATCCTTGTCTATTTACCTTATCTATGCCTCTCATGATTTTATAAACATCTATAAAGATCACCCACCAGCCTCCGACGCTCCAGAGAAGAAAGTCCCAGCCTATCCAGCCTGTCTTTATAACTCAAAACTTCCAGTCCTGGCAACATCCTGGTACATTTTTTCTGCACTTTTCCTAGTTTAACATTCTCCCTGCAGCAGTAAACATTATGGGTTTCAGCTCTGCTGTAATTCCTCCCTCACGTGTACTCAGTGCAGAACCTCACATAACCACTTCAGCACTTGGGAGTCTAGATCAATAGCAAAACATTATCATGGCTGAGAAGACACAGAATCCATATGGGTGAAGGCAAGCAACAAAAAGGGATGGACAACGAAGGTAGGAGTAGTCTATAGAACCCCCAACCCAAACAGTAGCTATACGATGGGACAGAGACAAGGCTGTATATTGATCATAGGTGACGTTAAACTTCATGTAGATTGGGATGGTCAGATTGGCAAAGATAGACAGTAGGAAGAATTCATGTGTATTTGGGACATTTT